AAAAGATTTTAATGTGATGTCATCCTAGGTGTTGATTCTTATATTTCCTTTGGGTTTGGGGTTTTGTTCATAAAGTCTTTGCCTACATCTATGTCTTTAAGAGTTTAACGTATTTTTTCCTCCAGTAGGTTGTGTTTCTGTTTTAATATATATAATCTTTGATTCATTTTGATTTTACTTCAGTGTATGCTGAGTGTATGTGTCTATATTTAATCTTCATCATATGTTAAGCCAGTTTTTCCAGCACCACTTATTAAACAGGCTATCTTTTTTTCAGTGAATGCATTTGGCACTGTTGCCAAAGATAAGGTGACTAGATGTGTCTGAAGTTATTTCTACATCTTCTATTCTAGTTCATTGATCCTGAATTTCCATTTCACTCCAGAAAGAATGGTTATGGTGATCCTCAGGTCTCGCATGTTTGTGGGGTTTTATTTTGCCATACAATGCTGATTTAACCATAGTATCTTTGTAGTATAATTTCAATTTGGGGATTATGATGCCCCTGCCTTGCCTTTGTTGCCCAGAATTGCTTTTACTACTCTAGATTGCTTCTGCTTCCAAATAAATTTTCTGTAGCTCTGTGATGTATGCTTTTGGTATTTTGATCAGAATTTCATTAAACCTGTATAACACTTTTGAAGTATGGCCATTTTCATTGTGTTTATTTTGCCTATCCAGGAATGAGGGATATCTTTCCATTTTCTGATACCCTCTTCAGTATGTGCTCTCAGATTCTGTAACTTTTAATATAAAATTCTTTTATTTCTATTGTTTGGTTGATTCCTAAGTATTTCATTTTTCTTGTTTCTATTGTGAAAGGGATTGTATCACTAATCTCTCAGTAAGTTTGTTATTTATGTACAGGAATGTGTACATTTTCCTTATAGTATTGCTTTCATTTCATCCTTTGAGTCCTACTATGTCCTATTGGTATTCACATTTAACTATAGAAATTGTTCAGTTTGTTATTTAATTTCATTTGTGACTCATTCCTGTTCAGAAGTGTCTTATTTAATTTTGTGTGTCATTCAATTTTTGTGATTTCTTTTGCCAGTGACTTGCAATTTCACTCACTGTTTTCTGATAATATGCACAATATAATTTATTTTAGCATAGTCCATGAGATAGTATATGATCTCTTCTAGAGAGGTATATTGTCTATTTTATTGATGAGAAGAATATGCACACTTGTTGAGTGTAACACTGTATAGATATCTACTAAGTCTATTTATTCAAAGCTCTTATATTTCTTTGTTGGTTTTTTTTCCTAGTTGATCTGTTTATTTGTGACAATAGGATAGTGAGGTTCCTGATAATAATTGCATTAGCCCTTATCTGGCATTCCGTTAGTGTTTGTTTTATACACTTTAGTGCACTGGCATTTGTTGCATATATATTTATGATTATTCTCTCTTGTTGTTGGATTACTCCCTCCACAAGGATGTAGTGAACTTTTTTGTCTCTCTCTCTTTTTTTTTTAACGAGACATATACAGCTTTATTTAATAATTTGTAAAAAGTCATACTCTGACAGAGTGATGCATTCCTTATCTTAGCAGAAAGCAAAACAATGTGTCTGAAAAGTCTTCTCCCAAGACTGGGAACTGTGTAGCCCTGAGCTTACAGCTGGATGCTCCCATTGCTGGGCTCTGCTGTGCGGCAGCTGGTCTCCATGGTTCTTTCCCCTCCTCCCAGTGGTACTCTCTGGCTGGCCAGGACCCCGTCCCTTACAGCAGACAGGGGGCAGAAAATAACTGTACCAGGACAGGGCTGTCCTTACAAACTGGCCCCTTCCTTCTTACAAACCAGAGTTTATAGAATTAAGACTCTCAGAAATGGGTTCTGTATCTAATTTAGCTTCGACTAAGTCTGCTGAAATCAAGATTTCAGTTACTCAACATGATATCGTCAATGGCTATTCTCCCAGGCATTTCCTCACCAGTGACATGGCTTGGGACCATACCTCTCCCTTTTTGGGGGATCGAGAGATGGAGAACCATCCTCCATCACACACCTGAGAGTCTCTTCTGGCAGATGTGTGCATGTCTGGAAAGCAGTGATCGGTGGTAGTGGCAGCATCTTGCCCTGCAGAGCGGAGGCCTGGCATTTTGTTTTCTACTTCCCGTGCTAAGAGATTCTAGTAATCAGGCAACTCCTTTAGTCCTCCCCTTTTATTCATGCTATAGGCTGTGTGAAGCCATTTGGAAAGAAGGAGGTAGCTGGCCTCCCGCCTACCTCTCTATGTAAAGCCAACCCTGCTACTGGTCAGATCAATCAATAGTCCAGAGAGTCATTGCAGTTTCTCACATTCCTCAGAGTTGCTCTCTCTAGAAATCATTCTGCAAGTCTTATTGACCGATTTGGAACCAAAGAGAATCTAGTGGCCTATCCCACCTAGATATCTGTTCTGCACCTTTCCCTTAAAAAACATTATTGAGAATGCAAAAAAAGTCCCTTTTTTTTCCCCTGCAGAAGCACTACAAGAAAGCATGTCTAAAATTACAGAATTATGCACACACAAACACAGACACATGTGCTCGCATACACACTGAGTTGGGGATCAAAGAATCTTATCAGATACATAGTTGAGGGAGCACAGAAAAAAGCTGGCAAGAGAAGATACGGAAATTAGTCAATTAAAGATGTTGGAATGTTACAGTAATGGCATGGATGAGGTTCTCGGTACATACAAAAAAGGGTGGGTGAGCGGAGGATGATAAATCCAGGCTACTAGGGAAAGGTTCAGTGGCCATGCATGAGTTAAAGACAGTGAAGGCCAGTTTACGGATGACATGTGGTATGGAGTGGTAGTCTGAAGGAGAATGGATTTGCATGGTCCCGGGAGGAGCAACTGCTTAGCAGGACACCTCCATCATATGATGTCTGTCCAGGGCATCAGGGGACTCACAGGATTTTTGACTTCCATCTGAATGATTGCTGGTGACAGACCGGCTGAAGGGACTTTCTCCAGAGCCGATGCTACTCTAGTTTGAGTGGGTTCGTGATCGGGCGAGCCGGGTCATGCCAGCAGATGGTATGTAGCCCATTCCCTGCAAAAAGTACTTGAAGGCTTCGGTGAGCTTCCCAGGCTGAAATACTTGGGGCAGTCCCCCACAGTCCGCCATCTTTAGCAAAGTTGTATTTATAGGGTTGAGGCGAGAATTACATTCAACCACAGCCTCAACAGCAGGTGAATTGTCCCCCACCACCAGTAAAGTAGAACACTTTAATGTTTTTAATCTGTTATCATTTTGGCCTAGAATGGGTCTTTCAATTTCCAAGTCTCTGTGTCCATTATAAGAACCCAGGAAGAGCTGTAGATTTTCTTGGTTGATATCTTGGGCAATATGCAGTCTATAGGTTTGAATTAAGTCCAAGTTGGCCTGCAGTTCTTCCTGCCCAAAACAATGAGCCAAAATAATGTCCACAACATTGGTTGTCAAGCCAGAGAGTTTGGAAGCTGCCCAGTCAATCCAACCTTTAGCGCATGGGTCAATGTTAATGAGTACAAGGCCTTCCACGAGCTCTGGATGATTGAGTGCAAATCTGCTGAGGATATAAGCACCAGCTCCAACTCCAATCCCAATGATGCTCTTCAGACTTAGGTGGGTGAGAACAGGAGGCAGCATTTCAGCCAGCTCATCCATTGTAGGGTACTGGTACCCGGTTGGGAAAGAAGGTGCTCCTTCTTGCTGGCCTGGGGCATCCACATGACACACAGCAAAGTGCTGAGTGATCTCCTGCATATCCTCAAAGTTGAAGAATGTGTTGAAACAGGATTTATGATTGAGTCCAATGTCATGATATGTTAAGATAACTGGTCTGTTTCCCTTCAGTAAGCCTCTTATAGTGACATGGACCATACCATGAGTTGTTTCTATATCATGTTCCTGACAGTCAAAGTCCTGGAAGTTTCGTGTACCATTCTTATCATTTAGAAGTGGTTTGATCTCTGTGAGCTGAACATCCTGAAGTTCATCCATGAATACAGATGACAGCGGAGATGTCTCAAGTACAAATCAGTAACTCTGAAGCGCGGGCGACGGCCGTCAGTGCAGCAGCAGCAGCGGCAGCAGCAGCGGCCTTTGTCTCTCTTGATCAGTCATGGTTCGAAATCCATTTTGTTTGCAAGTAGAATAACTACGTCTGCTTTTTTCTGGATTGTAGTCCCATCTACTATTGTTTGCCATCCTTTGACTTTCAGTCTATGAATTTATTTTATAGTTAAATATTGATCTTATGTTATTCTTCTTGGCATCATCAAGCAGCTGTTGAACTGATATTTTGTGGTCCCTTGTTATTTAAAAGAAGTTTTTCACTGAATTATCACTAACCACAAATCAATCTTTTAGATCAGGTATTATACCATAACATTATTTGATTCTGCTGCATATACTTTCATAGAATTTTTAATCTTATCATTATATGTTTAAATCTGTTTCTTGACATCTAGTTCTTTCCTATGTTGGGCATTTATGATTTCTGTCATCACCATAAGATCCTCTGTTTTTTTATTACTATTTACTCTATATTAACTAACAATGTCCTTTATTATGTTCACCGTCTCTTTAGTTACCTGTGAAATTATTTCTGATTTATTTTTTCTAGTGTCTCATTCATATGCTTTGTTATTTCCGCAGCTACCACTTCAGAAAGTTCAGCAGAGTGGCTTTTGATTTCTTCCATTTTAATGTTCCCTGGATTTTCCTTGGATGAACTAGAGGTCTGTGTCTGAGTCTTGTATATATGTCTTCTTATTTTCTAATTTTTCAATTTGTTTTCTGGAGTTATGCTTATAAATTGCTATTGTAATAGCATTATTGCTAGCATTAAAACCTCATTAGAAACTATCTACATTTTACAGGTGTTTTCTAGGTTCTTGGATTTTGAGTCTGTCCCTAAATCCTGCCTCTTTAACTTATGGATAAGAAGTTCCTGCCCACTTGGACTGTCACCTACTTCTTTGGTACTGGACTATGGTATTATTTCTGACTCTTGGATGATCTCGGTACTGGCATACAAGGACAAAACTCTGGTAACAATGACTATGTCACCTTAACTAAAGTAGTACAATCAGCAAAAAACATTAGCATCTAGCAAAGTCTAGAAATTGGCAATCTGTGGTAGCTGTTAATTTGTTTCCTTTAACCATAGATAGAAGATTTATAGTTGTATAACAAAATCTAAATCAAGTCAAAAAACTATGTACAGTAGATGTCCCCTCTATAAGATGATTTTATCCTCAGGGGAAAAAATAGAAAACAATAAGAGAAAAGCCAAAAGAAATCAAAGAGAAAGAGATTAGAAGCATGGCTAAAGGACAAAGGAAGAGTACCTAAGCTTTGGGAAACTGATAAAGAAGATAGGAAGGAAACAAGATGAAAAAAACAAAAATAAGAATTAAATTAAATTTTTAAAAAACTAAAAAGAATGTTCAAACTCATGAAAAAAATCCAGAAAAAAAGTAAATTAAAAAATTTCTATGTGATTTTAAACTTGTTGTCATCTTCTAAGGTTTATAGTTGTCTGCCATTTTTCTTTCAATGCTAAAATAAAATATCTGACACCTAAAGTTAAGGAAGGAAAGTCTATTTAGCTCACAGTTTGTGGAGGTTTCAGTCCATAATCAGCTGGCCCTAAGGCAGGTTGACATGGAAGAGATGCAGCAGTCCAAGGAAGCAGAAGATAGGAAAGCAACAAGAGCAAAAAGAGGGGAAGAACAAACCTCTTATTCTTCTTTATATTATATGCAGGCTACCCATCCTTTGGTTGGTCCTTTGTACCCTATGATGTAGAACTGCTGAAATGATTTAGCTAAGGTTTTAAACTTCTCAAATTGACACAATGAATCAACCATTACAACAGCCTATGTATAAGTAACTGGGCTAGGGCATGTCCTTTACACTCTAGGATGTAGAACTGCTCAATCAGTTAAACTTCTAAACTTCTCAAATTGATACAATGAATCAACCATTACAAGTGATTTGTGGTAGTGTCCAATTCAGAGTATGTCCCCACTGTCACTGGTAGACAAGTGAGTCAGATGGAGCCCAGATCTGTGCTGGATGATCCCAACAAGCCTGTAGTAGAAATAGGATGGGGTGCTGATATTTTTTGTTCCATCATCATAAAATTTCATGCTGATCCTGGATTCTAGGTGTGGGGTTTGGACCCAAGATTTTAAGCCTACAGCAGTCTGGATGTCTCTTGTTAGCCTGACATAGGCACCCTGACCCTAGCTATCTCTCATACTGTCCTTCACCCAGTCATGAGGACCCTTGAGATGAAGTCAATTCTTGTTGTTCAGAGTCTCAAGTTCATGCACATAGTATCAACTGCTCTGTTCCATTGGTGCTTTTCTTCCTAGAGGCTCCTGAAGTCACTCATCCTCACTACATCTCTGCAGATTTGTTCCCCTCTCACTCCACAAACCATGAGTGATGGATGCAGTGAAGCTTGCTACCTCCTTTCTCTGCACTGAGGTCTGTCTCTGAACCTTTCCCGTGGCCTCCAATTCTCTCTTCATATAGTTCTTGGTTCCCAGGGGTCCATTTCATTCTATTCCTCAAGTTCTTATTTTTCAGTGTCTGGATTCTCAGTCTCAAAGAGGCTGATTTGCTGCTGTTTAGTCCTGTACCATTTTTCTGGAACTCCTGAACCACTTGAAAACTGTAGGCCTAAAGTTTGATTACCTCTAAATATTTCAGTGTATAGTTAACACACACCCAAAGACATAACCCTATAAATGCACATTACCATACAGCCATAAACACAAGGAAATTATTTCCAATAGCAGATTACTATCGAGTTTGCAGGCTCAGTTCAGATTTTTAATCAAGCCAATATTTATAATGCTTTCCCTTGTGACTTAACATATAGTCATGTAATTTTCAAATTTCTTTCATCTCCCAAGTTGCAGTGGTATTTCATGGTTTAATTTTTAACTTGAATTTCATGATCTAAAATTTTGAAGTATACAGATCAGTCACATCATAAATCATGCTACATTTGGGGTTAGTTTTATATCTTCTGTCCTCAAAACTATGCAATTTTTAGTAGTGACAACAGAGAAGATGGTCTGTTCTTAATATATTGTCAGCTGTATCATACTGCACATACTGCTGATTTTACTCATTGTTTAGTCATATATCTGTCAGATTTCTCTAACATATAAGTAATTAATAAGACTTTTTATAAATATTTTGATAAGGAATTAATGGAAAGTTACATTGCAACTATTTAATTTCTTTATCCTCATTAGTCATGCTCTAGGTTTACTTGCTTAATTTTTAAAATCTTTTATTTATTTATGAATTTATTTGGTACAGGATCTTGCTACACAGCTCAAACTTATAGTGATCCTCCTGTTTCAGCCTCCCCAGTACTGGAATTACAGGCATGCACCATCACGCCTAGTTTCAAGGCCAGCGCAGTACACCCAGGGTTCCATGGTGGGCACAGCATGTGGTACAAGGGATTGAACCCAGGTCCTTTCACTTGCCAGGCAGGCACTTAGACCACCAAGCTCTCTCCCCAGCTCCACCCTCTAGTTTTAGATGAGCTTCATCTGAGTCAGATAATTGTTGCCATGAAATTGTCATTTTAAGTCTATCATTCTTAATTGGCATGCTAATGTAAGATAGAGAGTTCTCTTTTTCATTCATTCATTCACTAATACACTCAGTTCAACATGCACTTGTAGATTCCTGTTTTATCCAATAAGTCATAATCTAGTACTAACTCACTTTTCAATATAATTTCCTTGACTTAATGAAAGCCCCTATAAAATTCCTTCTTGATATTTCTACAACATTATTCGAACAATTCTTATTTTTTCCTCACAAACAGATATTCAATGAACTGAGGGTACAGCTGAGTGTTAGAATAGTATTTGGTATGTGAAAGAACCTAGGTTCAACCTCCAATAAAAAGTAAAAATTAAAAAAAAAATTCAAGATTCTTCCATACTTTTCTTGCTCAATGCTTGGAAACTAGCCTTTGTCCAGGGAATTTTAATCTGAAAATGATTCTTGCATAGCAAGAGTTTTGGAGAAGGAATCTATTGTACTTCTGTTATATCTCAGGATAGTGTATCGTCTGGTGTAATCTTGAGAGGAGGCTTATGATTTGAGACTGAGCTATTCTGGAAATTGAATTTCACTGTACAACCACATTTCAGGTTCCCTGGGTGAGGATTAGTTGCAGACCCTTTGATAAATATAAGCAATGAGTTGTTCAAGCTGCAGAGGATAGTTTGCAGCATCACTGCAGTGTTTGGTGAGCAGTAAAACCCATCACATGTGATTTTCTGAGGGGGCTGGAACTGAAAGTGCAAGGATCCCAGGCAGTGAATTATTGTTTCTGTGCCTCCCTCCTCTCTAACACAGATATCAGTGACTGGCTTGTCTCTGCTACTCTCCAACATGCTCATGAATACACCTCTTCTTGGATGTTTGCCACACCCCTAGTTGGACAGCGGAAACACTTGGAGTGAATAAAAGACCATAGCAGTCTTCATTTCTTGAGACTAGTCAATGGTAGAAGTTGCTCTGGGAGTCAGAAGGAAAGAGACAGACAAAACGTTTGGAGTGAATAACACCCCAAGATGAAAAATGGAGCATTGACTGGCCCCACTTAGTGGAAAAGTTGAGCAGCGCTCAACATTCTAATGACATCAGCTGTTAGGTAGCAGCAAGGAGAAAGCACAGCAGGCCTCAGAAGCAACTCATTACTTTTCACTTATATCAGATGGATTCCGACATTAGAGGTCCTGGAAAGAAATTTTTCCAATCCAAGTACCCACTGCGGTAAAATATTTTTGAATCATTTTGCTTCTAACTTTGTTTTACATTTTATTTCTATTATTTTATGTTACTTTCTCCTTACTTTGATCACATTTTATTTACCTATTTTTAAAAATTTTAAGGTTAATTTATCTTATTCCTATCATTTATCTTGTCCATTCTCATCTTCTCTTTCTTTTCATAAAGATTTTGCTGCATCTTGCTTCTATTTTCCCATTTCCCCACCATGTCTGTTTTTATTACTATCTTGTTATTGTCACTTTACTT